TTTTTTTTTTCAGATACTGACTAAAGCAAAGCCTTGTTGATAGTTAGACAGAGGGTGTGGCCACTTGCACAGCAGATACAGAAGTATCACCATTTAGAAGAGCAGAAGTCGTCAACATTTTACCTTTTTTTCATAGCGCTGCTTCATACTTCTAAACTGATGATCCCATTGCTTGTTCACCTCCAGTAGCTGTGCATGTCATCAGGAATCCACAGTAAATAACTTTTGTTTCAGCATACTCGATACATAAAGAATAGGCTGGCTTTCTACTCCTTGAGCTCTGAATGTTCACAACCTTCTCATTATCCAGCCAGCTCATCTCAGAAAAAGCATGTCAAAATTTTGACAAGCTGTATGGTGCACCTGCCAGTTCTTCACTATTTCAGTAAAGGTGCATGAATATTCAGGAAACAGCATTCAGGAAACATGCAATTATATGATAGGTTAGAAGTGAATCATTTGTAACACAATACAAATCCCAGCTGCAGTTCCTAAACRGCCAAGGATGCAGGACCATGCAGGTAAGCAGGAGGAGCTAAGTCAGTGTGTATGTGCATTTTCTTATTTCACGTACGAAGAAAGCCAGGCAGTTCTCTCAAAAGCATGCTGCTTTGTGGGATAGAGCATGTGGGAAAATGCATGCTGCTTTGTGGCTCATGTTTTAGGATGGTCAGCAAGAGAATGTGACCAAGGTTATATTTATTACTACTCACAGTGATTCCCTGGCCTTTACAAGAGAGATTAATAAAAAAGTTTGCCCTCTGTGTCATGTACATTTCTGCTTTTCTGGATTCTTAGCTGTGTTAACAGAGCTTCATTTGCTTTTAGCAATAGCTCCCCAAATATAACTCTGCCTAGCTTGGTAGATAAAAGCAGGACTATAGAAATTAATTGAAACATAAGTTTAAGTGCTTACAGAACTGGGGTTGCTAAGAAATACAATTCATCAAGTCTTTAGATAGAAATTTTCCTTTAATAATGCAGGACTAGATTTTCATAAACAAATCTTAGGCCTTATTGGACTGGCTGGTAAAAGCAACTGAAGTATATGCACAGTGTAAGCACTGGTGATAACACACTCAGTGACTTTCTGCCCTTATACATTACCAATAATATAGGGTCTATCCTACAGAGTGTAATTGTGAAGGTTACTTAACAGTACCTCTCGTCTCTGTCTCTCCAGTGAGAGGATGCGTTGTTCCACACAATCAGCTGTTACAGTCTTCTTTTTGGTCAATAATATGTGCTTTGACTGAAGGAAAAAAAAAATAAAGTGTTTAAAAATGAATAATTTCAGCATTTTCCCTCCAAGCTAAGATTATCATATGAAACTCCCATCCACACTGCCATGTGCCAATAAAGAAATATTAAAATAGCAATATTTTCTGATACAGCACTTGTATTTCAGCTCCTTTACACCTGAAGTGAACTCTGCTTTAAGCCCTGCTAATTTTGTGTGCCTATTTAGAGCAGCCATCATGCAAATAGAAAAAGAAATAAACAGAATTATGTCTACTTGCACCATCCGACATGTAGGAATTAAAATAGCAAATCAGTGATCCTACAGATGGCAATATAACCAAGTGCCAAAAGCCACAAAAGTTAAGCGTAAGTTAAAAAGGGTATAAATAATTAGTATTAGAATAAATAGTGCTGTTGTCCCAATAAGCGTTTGCAGGACCAAGGCCGTATTTTTTAGCACAATGGGTTTGAAACAAGCAATGAAGCAAATGACTGGGCCATTTGCAGCTACTAGGAAATTAGTGAACATTAAGTTATTTCATCCTTAAACATAGGAGTTTGTCCATGTAGAACATAAGCAGATAAACGGTCAATTTTTATAATGGCGATGAAGCAGATCATAATTTCCATGAGACTTCTATGAATTCTCATAAAAACAAATCTGTAATCTATTAGATATAATTTACATACCTAAATATCTACATATCTATATACACCCACACATACTCACACACATGTGCATGCAGAAAATTCACTGTGCCAGATACCTGGTCATTTGAAGAGAGGGTTTTTTTTGTCTCCCTAATCTAAATTCTCAACCAATAACACGGAAAACTGAGGAACAAAAGTGTGTGCACTTCTGAGGYCTTAAACCTCCCCAAATCATTTTTTTTTCCAACTAGAGAATTTAACRTCTACCACCAAAGGAGAACACAGAAGTGCTGTTCTTTCAAAACCAAGCTCATTGGCACAAAATGCTTAACTTAAAGTACCCAAAGCAATTGAACAGCTCCACAGACAGCAATAGATGTGTTGAATTGCTTTCAATGATCAGCTTTAGCCATATATTTAGCCATGCATAGGCAGTCCTGCTACAGTTAATGAGATGACTCACAAATATAACAGTTTTATATGTACACTGCACTAACTGGCTCAAAAATGATTCTCTGAAACTACTGGACCACTAAATGGAACCACTTTCTACCCTTTGTATAACAAATTAAAACTACCTGACAAATCCTAAGGTATTTTTTTCTTTCTAAGAATGCTACATCTAAAAATATGACATTTTCTTCTAATTTTAAAGAGCATAAATCATTCAGACAAATCCAATCTAACTCATGTCAATGCACTAAGCAATACACATGATTTGTCCACTACTTTAACCCATTCCTGTTAACTACATAGGATGCAAGAGGACAGGTAAAACACTCACTTACTTTTAACTGGTCAGGTGATGCTTCCATTTCACTCACATCTGCCCATGCACATCCAGAAGGGACTGGAGCATTTGATTCACTATAGGTCTTTGAAAGAGAAGAGCAATGAAACAGATATTTAAGTTACCTAAAGGAGCAGGGAAAAAATACATGCAGATGTACAGCATACATACAAACAAGCAGCCAAGAGTAAGAAGAAGAGTAAGGAAAAGGTGATGRGATTTTGATTTTAAGCTTTTTCTCCTTCCCAGCTGGGGCTTCCCAGAATGTTTAAAGCAYACTGCCCGTGACTAATGTACAGGGCCAAACATATAGTGCTTTGTTTCACGTGTATGTAAATCACAACAGACTGGCCAATTCAYCCCCAGAGAGGAAGCTGCATTATGTACGGGAAAAAGAGAGTCATTTTTTTCAGTAAATAAGACAACAGGATTTTCTTTCCACAGATCAGAGATTTACTTCCAGTTGAAACAAAGCACTTACGCAAGCATGACAAGTCTTATGTGACAGCAAGGAAATGGGAATTATCATGATAGAAAAGGGAGTGAGTCACGCTGGCAAAGGAGCAATAGTACAGTTTGTTAACAGCTATAGGGAAGAACACACCCATACAAAACGCAAGGCGTTTTGGGGAACCCCAGTATTGGAAAATTGACTAACTTTCCCTGAAGAAAAGCTACACAAAATTTTAGAACAGATTTCATTAGTCTTCTCCTAAGGGCCTATTTTTTTGCAATTATAGTCAGTTATGCTACCCAACTATGCATCAAGCTTTAATGTATGCCAGTCTGTTCTGAACTCTTCAAACTTATGTCTCAGTCTCCCATTTGGAAGAAGTGGCTAGTAACAAATAATACTGAAATGTATCCACTAAATTTTCAGATACAAAGAYGAAAAGAAATAGAAAAGCACAAAGTATTGTCATCTTTAACAGTAGRACTCTGAGTAACAATAGATTTGAGATGGAAATGTGAATGAAAAATCCTTTCCTCATTGTGGCAAGGTCTCTGGGTCTGAGCTTTTTTCAGAGTCAGAGATTGTATAACTGTTTTTCAAGGAAAGGAATACAAAACTAACACACWATCATCTACACTTTAGAACAAAAGAATGTAAATCTTTTGGAAAGCTTCCAACTTCAAAAAAATTTCTTTGAAAGGATGGAATTTAAAAGGCATGTTCCAAACCTCTGGCTGGTAACGTGTGACTAAGCAGGTGTGTGACTAAACAACTCATTTTTGCAAGCTAAAAAACCCAATGTGGAAGAAAGCTGCTATTTAAAAGTACTCATACATCAAATATATCTTGCCCAGCCCTGATGCTTCTTTTAAATTTTTCAGTTTTATAGAGTAGGTGGAAAACTTGTGAGATATTAGTGAAAAGTTAAAAGATAGATTTAATTTTAGATAGAATTACATCTTGGATTGTATAAAGAATTTATTTTAGCCATCAAAAATAAAAGATTTCATCTATGTCAGGATCAAAAATAATCTTTGGGGAAATATCCCTCCCAGGTACAGCAGCAGTTTAAAGAAAAAAAAGACTATCCAGTTATGACTGGTAACACCAGCGATTTCTGCAGTTACTCTTTTTTCCTTCTCTTTCCCCGCACCCCCCCCATTTCTGTAGTGATTTCCATATTGTAAAAAAAATACATACCAGTAACCATCAGACAACGAAACACAGTAAACTGCTTTACCACCTAACCAAGTTAACTGAAACAGGAAAGCTATCCCCCAGAAATTAGAATTGCAGTAAGGCCAACTTTTAAAATGAACAAACACACCATCCTACATCAGAGAGCACAGTAATAATTAAACTGCAAAATCCCCATAGTGGGGAAGAGGAAGGACTAGACATTTTAAAAATGAGAGAGARTCTTGTAATTTTCTAAAGGTTTATTATGCCAAATCAAAGCTTTCACCTAAGGACTTCAAATGCATTTACATAAGTAGGTAATAACCCTATTTCACTCATAGGGAAACAGATGAATGCTAAAAGYGATCCAGGTGCTGGTGTCAGATCAGAGAGGGGTGAAGGACACCTCTCTTCCTCAGTCCACCTGTGGCTGGCACAGSTGCTGCTGTAACGTCCATTAGCGAGATGTCACTGTGAATTCGAATTTTGAATTCTCACTCCCAAGAAGGGAAAAAATATATTCTGAAGTTACTGCATGTGAAGAGTCAAACATGAAATCACCTACTAAAGCAGAGATTAATGTCATCAGATAGAAATAAGTGGAACAGCAATTACCTATCTTCTGATTACAGTGTCCTGGTGTCTTGTGTAATATTTACTACAGTCCTATGGATAATAAGCTCACACAAATAATCTGCTTGGTCCTTATATTACCAATACTGGACGATTAACCAGTCCATAAAAATATAATCAAAAACTTGCAAATATATGCTAGACACTAAGTCCTCAGTTGTCAATAACTTAATAATCTTTAATCACTATTAAAAAAATAATACTTTGAGTTGCAATCTCTTTAATGCTACAGTAAATCTCAGCACTCTTCTTTGCAGTTCCTCTTCTAATACAACTAATGAAAATCAGTCAAATGACAATGCGAAAGAAAATCAGTCCACTGTTAATGCTTTGATGATACTGTTGTGTGAAAAACACAGATTTCAGATGAACAATAAACACTTCCATGAAACATGAAGTTTATACATTTGCACGATGCCTACAATCAGTTAGATTTTAGAAGACTTGATATGAAATACATCTCAAGGGTTAGAACATGCTGCTTAAAAATATGGTATAGTTCGTCTGTGTTAGCAATTTGATGGGAGATATGTCTTGGTCCCTCCCTTACAAGTGCTTTTCTGTACTGATTACCCTTGAAGAAGAGTATCAGTTCTTGGAAAGAGAAGATTATGGCTAAAAGCTAAAATAGAAGAAAAGCTGACAAGTCACAACCAGAAGTTCAGACTCCTCAAAAGCGCTGGAGTTCTTCCAGTGCAAACCTAGAAATACTCAAACAAAATTTCTGTCTCTCTCTGAAATAAACTGATGATACTGAACATAAAAATGATAAGATATTTATTGTCTTTAKATCTGCAGTGCCAAACATTTATTTATTTAAATTTAAACAATTTATTTAAATAAACCTCATTTAACAATCTACTGCTATGCAAATTAAGAACAATTTAGTTGTAAGATAGTACTACAGAGATTCAAGATTTATCAGCCTTCAAAGGTCAAAGAGGAAGAGTATTTTAAACCATTTATGGTTGGTCTGAAGCTGCTGAATCAAACATGCAGTTTTAAAATACTTACAGAACTCTAGTTCAAGACTAGACCATAAAGGTGGACGCAAACCTAATGAGAAAAGAGGACTGTTTACAGATCCAGCCTAACTTGTAAAAAAGTTAATAAAATTTGGCAGTCTTTAGAACATAAAATAAGCTGGRGATTGCAGGGAATGTATAGCTAGCAAGCTACAGAGGAGCTGTAAGTCTGGAGGGGCAAAAAAGAGAGTGTTCAGAAAGTCCTTCACATGCCATCGTCTMTTCCAAATCTATCCAAATAATGGGATTATATATTACTACTCCTGCTACTGGATTGTGACATGTTGTTGTGGCATCACACTACACTGAATAAAATTTAACATCTTACATTTCAGCATAATTCAAGTAAAAATGTAAAGCAAAGAAGTTTGGAATAGAGTCTCTACTCCAGAAGAGTAAGTGGAGTGGGGTAACTAAAGAAAATAAAATTCATACGAGAGTATTTACTTTCTATTTACTTTATTTCTTTAGAGAGCTGATGAGAGCTGGCCCCTCTTAGAGTACTGATGCATTTCTTTTCTATTAACACCTGCAATAAAAATGCTTCCCTGAAGTCCACAGGAGCCATCTTGTTCCTCTACTGCCACTGTAATATCCCTATTACAAAGGCTGATCAAAGCACGATGAAATGTATTAAAATGTATTGTATCCATCTGTTAAGTGTATCCATCTCAAATTAAAATAAAATTTATTAAATGTATTAAAAATAACCTGTCCCCTTGAACCTGGAAAAAGTTCAAGTAACGATCTGAAACCTCTGTAATGTCTGTGATTCATAATTAACATCCACATTCTCTGAATCAGTACAAATTCTTAGCATGACCTTTATCCTGTTTTCCTCCTACTCTTGGCACTGCTGCCCTGTCACCCATACCTGTGTTTCTAGAGCACTGGGCACTCTGGTATTCAGCATTTCGGTGCATGCTACAGACGAAGCTGACAGTARAACTGATGACACACATTTCAAAAACCACCACATGCAGTTCTGGTGCTCTGCACTGTGGCAGACAGCACTTGATTATCTCTCTTTTTTGTTCTCTGATATTAAAGATGAGGTTGAAGGGAGAAGCATCTTTTATAGCAGACACTTTAAGCAAGCTCGGGGAAAAAAGTGTCAGACGGCTCYGCGTGTGACAACCAGGGAGGTGCAGCAGCGAGCTGGGCGCACACGGCCCGTGCTCAGGGACTGCCGTGAGGAGCAGAAATAAGGCAGCCTCTCAGCTGTAAGGGAGAAGGCTCCCTGGGGATGAGTGGGACGAGGCAGGGTTTGCTGCCCCACCGAGACTCACTGATTTAGCTCCAGGTGGCAGCACAAAACTGCCTGCMAGAGCAGAGGGGCAGAAGGGCGTAGAGGTGTTTTATTAATTTCTATTATGTTCTATACYTTCTGTTATTAAGGGCTTCAAAGGGTTTTTTCCTCTTTTCTCTTGTTAAAAAAATGCCATGGGAGAAAAATCAACACATGGGAGCTGTGGCCAGCTCAGGATCYTCTTGCAAGCCTGAGCATGCTAAGAAGTTACAAGTTCTCAGTTTTAGACTACTGGATCTTCATTCTAGGAAAGGTGTTTGTTAAAACACTTCAAACTAGCCACACTCAGTGTATGATAGAATATATTATAGATAATGAAAGTCATCGGTCACTTCTGACAMTCCTGGCTGTTCACTAATTCCAGTGAAACCAAGACCCATCTAAGTGCTTGATTAGAAGAAAATGAGAATCTTTCCTCAATGATGAGAAAATGGTAAAATCATCTACAATATTTCCTCTTAGCCTATCACATATCTGCTATAAGATTTTTTTAATTGCATGGGTAGTAGCAGAATTGTAAAAAAGCTGTAGTGAAAGTTCAGTGGCTTCTGGGGAGCTTTGTTTGCTTACATTTTCACCAAGTTTTTGTTTTGCCTTTAGAATATTCTCAAAACTGCTCTGAAATCTTTTAATSTATTTTGGGTAGGTGGAGTACATTTTGAAACGGTAAAAAACAGAGAATTTTAGTCCCAGGGTAAGAWCAACCTTTAAAACAGAAGAAATTAAGTCCTCCTTTCTACACATGGTCTATATCCTTTACCTGGATAGAGAAATGTCTTACAAAGGGATTTTGGCCTCTAAGTCAAACAACCTCCTTCTTGCATACTGTTCAGTTAAGCACTCACAATACTCTAACGAAAAAGTGTAGATGTGAACACATGTGGGCATCACAAAATTAGAGCAATGTTTACTCATTTTCTCAAGCTAAAAATTGATCCCATAAAATATGTTAACTTTCCCACTAATCCTTCTATTACCTTATGTTGACACATAACTAATTGTTTTAACTATTACTATTCATTATTCTTTCCTAGTTGATGTTTTTTTAGGGCAAGTGCATAGGATGGGTAATTAAAATATTTTCTTGCTACATAAAATCTTGGTGAAGCCTTAAAGTGCTGAAAATACTCTGCATGCAGTGCAGGATTAGTGCTATTCTAGATTCCTCTTGTCCTTTACTTTCTCCCTCTCCAAAATGAAGAATAAAGAACCCACTCCTTCGTGAGGTATGTTGTGAGGACAGGCAGTTTGCACAGACTACAACCTCTGCAGAGCTGGATCTTAATATCCAAGAATGAACAGAATTCTATCAGCAATATATAAATAACAGCACAGAAAAAAAATAAAGAAGGAATGGATAAGTAGATGTAAATTAATAACTGTAAAAAACAGCACCCTGACGAGCAGAATGAAGTTACAACTGATGCAGGAAGTACAGACTAAAGGAAGGGCCTGGAACATCTGCCCTATGAGGAAAGGCTGAGKGAGCTGGGTCTGTTCAGCCTGGAGAAGAGGAGGCTGAGGGGGAACCTGATCAGTGTCTATAAATACCTCAAGGGAGGCAGTGAGGAGGAGGAGGCTGGCCTCTTTTCAGTGGYGGMCAGYGATAGGACTAGAGGAAACGGCCACAAGCTGAGGCACCAAAAGTTCCACAGGAACTTGAGAAAACACTTTTTGACAGTAAGGGTGACAGAGCCCTGGAACAGGCTKCCCAGAGAGGTTGTGGAGTCTCCTTCTTTGGAGATCTTTAAAACCCGCTTGGACTCAGCCCTGTGCCCCGTGCTGTAGGAGACCCCGCGTGAGCAGGGTGGGGTTGGACTAGATGACCTCTGAGGTCCCTTCCAACCTTAAGCAGTCCTATGATTCTATGAAGTGCTGAGAGTTAGTTCTACATACCCTGCATAACTAAACTTACGAAAACACACTGAAGGAAAAAGGCAGCAAAAGGGAATCTGTTTATCGATGCTTTCAGATAACTCTCAAAAGTGCCCTAAGCTCAGGAGAATATGAGACTCTGTAGCACACAATTTATGCTCTTCATCTCAGAATAAAAGTTATAGAATAAAACAAACTTGCTTTGCCAAGCAACTTCCTGACAGACTGCAAAAAGTATACTTCATATCTTTATCCTAATTCCTAAATACAGATTTTTGCCTTGTTTCAGTTCTAGATCAGCACCTCATTCCACAGGCTATGACTTGCTGATTTTTAAATTGGTATCTTATATTCTTTATAATAGGAAGTATTGTAGCATTTCCAAAAATATTACCTTCCCCCCCACAAATATACAACCCAGAGTATGTGCTCCTAGCTTCTTATACTGAGACTGTTGGACTGTATCACAACTGTGAATTGTCACTTAATGTTCAAGTCAATAACCAGCTAATGGAAAATCTAATTACCTTGAAGAAACAACCCTCCCCCCCCAATAAAAAAAAGTATTTCTACTGTGAAAACATCATAAAATATTTCCCTCCTTTCAGCTATGAAACACTCATCTACATGTGCACACACATACTTCTTGCAAGGGCCAACAAAGTGATAAGGATGCAAGAAAAAACCCAAAATGCAACAGAAGCAGCATTCTGTGGGAAGTATTGAAGTATTCCGCAGAAAGGTTTGAGATGAGCATACACTTTTTCTGTCCTTTCCCCCAAATCCTTTTCTGTATCTCCTTCTATTAAAGAGAGTACTATACRCAGGGGAACAAGTGTTTCCGCAGAAATTTTAGCTCACTGTTCTGCACAGTAACTTCTTATTTCAGTGCTGCTCAATTCTGCTGCCTGCACTGACTTCTATTTCACTACTCTTATTCCTCCCCAGAAGTTGGGAATCCCCCGTTCTTCTGTGTGGGTTCTCTTTCGATATGTTTCTAATCCTGCTGGCCTGACCCAGGGATGTCTCTYTAGGCTTAACTTGTTTCACACCTCAGCATCATGAGTCATTTTAGAAACGGTGGTTTATGCGTGGAGAGAGCTATGTGGAGCATCTTTCATCGCCGTCATGCCTTCTTTACCTTCTCATTAATTCCCTGCACTACACTTAGGGCTATTGCCTTCAGAGATTTCCTTCCCTCTATCAGAATCACTCAGGCAGGTGAGCATCTCATCGCTCCCAGCGGAGCATCAATAGAGAAACCTCCTACCCCTCCCCTTCACAGTTTGTACAAAACAGGAATTTCCTTTTGCCTTCCTGCTACGTGTAAAAAGCAACTTCCTATTTAAGTGAAGTTTAAATGAAAATTAGGTTATTATTTAAGTGAATGAGAGGTTAACAAGTGAATGCTTGTTAATTTCCACATCACTAAAATCAATAAAGTACACCTTAGCAGGTTGTTCTATTTATAATACCACACAAGTGTGGGTTGAAAATCATAGCTTACCTTCTAAATAGCCTTGTTCCTCTCTATCTAAATGCCTCCTAAATGCCCTCCCAAAGATCTCTGTCCCTCACATCTCATCTTCATTTACTTCCAAACTATTAAACACAGCAACATAGAGAAACAGTTGTGTTCTCAGGGTATGCAGTTTTGTGGATTATCATCATTCAAAAGCCAGAGCTGGCTACACAGGACGGCACTTTGGACGAACTGCTGTTTTTAACTGGTCTTTTAAAGCATTATAAAAAGTCCCTTCTCACTCAGAGATGATCCTTACAACAGAAAGTAGCTATATCAGGGAAAAAAAAAAAAAAACCACACACATGAGCTCAGTGCACCATTTAAGAAATCAGAAAGTTTCCTGTATATCTGCTGAAGTGAAAGGGAACATGTCCCTGTGATGTTCTTCCTTCACAGAAAAACTATTGCAAAAGAAAACCACATTTACCTTAAGGGAAYGTGAAGTTCCCTGCTTGTTCGGACACTCTTGGGCAATAGGTCCCGGGTTCTCACACAACTGGGAAGTTTTAGTCCTCTCTATCAGATTCCTTATTTCAACATCCAGCTCTTTGCTTTCACACCTGCTAGAAAGAAACAACATTATACTTCACAGTTAATGCACAAAAAATTGAACTGCAGAAAAAGTAACTATCAGCTGTTATCTTAATGTGATAATAGACAGCATGACTAGTTCTTTACAGGTCTCCAGGTCCCTGTTCCTTGCTAGGCAGAGAATACTAAAGCAGAATCACACATAAGGAACTCCAAGTGTTTTGTGATAGAAATTTATTTAAAGTATTTAAACACGATTCATTATGAATTTTACTATATTGTGTCTAGAAAATCTTAGCAGCCATTCTGGAGTTGTATGACAACTGCCAGGCTTCTCCTTCCTGCTCCCTCCAAATTTCAAGAATGTTAAATTCAATTTACAAAAATGCTATTGTGAACTCCAAAACTAGGGGCTCAGATAGCAAAGGTTTTTTTGGTATTTTTATGCAATATTTCTTAATATATCTATTATGCATTTTCTTCCTTTTCCTGAAAAATCTCTTTTAAGAACATCTATATCTCGCAACAATGGATCTCTTCTATATCCTAAAATACTTGTTTTGTGAGAAAACACTGGGTATTTTTCAGCCTCTCAGTAATGAAGGAAACTCAGGATATAAACCCACTTAAAGGCTTGCTCCAGATTTGCATAAAATAAGTAGGGACAAATTAATAAACATACTGTAATAGGGGAGTGTGACTTTCAGAGGAAAAGCAGGGCATAAATAAACTCTCCCAGAAAACTAGATAAAGCTAAGCTTTCAAAAAGCACTAGCTTATCTTGCACTTAGGCTTTAATTTGCCAAGCAGCCTAAAGCAAGACTTAAGTTTAAAATGATGCGTCACCAAAGCATGAAAACAAACCGCGAGACTCAAAAACATTAACAACCTGTTATAGCAGTATCATGCCTGGTTTTAGGCAGAAAGCGTCCAAATTCTTCATTTCAACTTCTGGAAACACTGAATGTAGCTAGAATTTATCAGTTATATTTATTTCAATTCAGACATGCAATTCATAGGTATCTCACTGCATATTCTGGGGAAAATGTAAATGGACTAATGATAAAATTATCCAATAAACAAATCCATCTATCCAAATTATAAAAGTACGGTGAATTTCAAGCTGGGAGCACAAAATGATCCATTTTATTCCTGATATTTATAAACAGAGACTATAACAGAACTAAATTTTTATTCAATAATACTTTTTGCAGAGGTACTACAATAAAAGTCAAACACTGGCAAATAAGGATACAGAAAACTTGAAGAGCCTGAACTTGAATTGCTTTCTAGTAGTTCAYCTGAAACTGCAGTCCTTGAGCTGCCAGGAGCTTGCCATGCCAGCAAGCACAGAACAGAGACAGCATCAAACTGGGCAAACAGGTTGCAAGTCCTCAGTTCCAATACCTTTCAAGCACTCATTTCTCTTCAAACTACCTTGTCTATGTAGGGCTACATATTTGGGTGCTTTTTAGGGCTAGACTTGTACCATAGGAAAAAGTATTTTTACACTAGGAAATTTACATTTGTAATTAAAGTAGCTTAGAATAAAACAATTGTTAGGAGAAATAAAGTAGCAATTTTGAGGTGCAGTCCTGAGAACAGGAAAAGAACAGCAGAAATAAATGGCAGGAGTGCAGTAGTAAGTACTGGGACAGGCTGCACTGCTCGTCCCTGCTGGCTCCCTGACAGTGACAAGGGATGTGTGACCACAGCCTCTTGAGCTCAGAGCATGAACCAGGCTGAAATGCCTCATAAACATAGTAAGGTGCCTTTAAATACTTTTTCTCAGCCAAGAAATGTTCATTTTTTATGTTACTTGCAGTTCATCAGCTACTGTAGCTGTACATGTTATTTACCTTGCATTACCTTTCCTTACCTTTCTGTCTTCTCTTTCTCCCTTCCGAAGAAGGGAAAGAACCAGAACCAGCTGTGCCAGGATAAAAGGCAAAGAAACACAAAACTCTAGAATCCTTGCATTTCATTGTTGCTCTGTAATTTCCATGCTTCTGACATTATCATCCAAGTCAAAAATTCTCATCTGGATTTCTAACCATCTTTGTTTTTCACCTCTGTTTTCATACAAAGCTTTTTTGACCAGAAACTATCTCCTGTTTTACCTGCATTTTACAGGGGTATTGGCCACTTCTAGAATTGAAAGGCTCTATTTACCATGAAACATGTGAAATGTTAAGCAACCAAATCTGGCACACAAATCCACTTTATAGGCCAGATTTTCATAACACACAGATGGAGCACATGAGTTCTTCAAGTCAAGAGTTACCCTAGGACAGTTCTTGATAATTATTTGGAGTTTCCCATGTTGGGCTGTAGAGGGCACTCATTTTTTTTTTCCAAATTACTTTTGGTTTTATAAAGCTTGATGATGCATTTCTGTATCAACATCCTTGCAGTGTTAACCCTTTGACAACTTTTTTTTTTTATAATGAGCTTTATTTTTGCTAATGAAATGACTTTGAAAAGATGAGGACAGCAAATATGCAAATATATATGTGGCCGGAAAAATACGTGTTTATCAGATGGACAGGTACCAGCTCTACAGCTTCTCCTGAGGTAGCACTTGTGAGCTCTTTGCTCTCCCTGGTGTTCAGTGAGAATCTGCACTACTGGTTATTAATTGTAGTTATCTGCCAACAATGCATAGAAATACCTACAATTTGCATTTACTGCAGAAGATTAATTTGATATTCAATATGTAGAACTCATTTGAAATAATAATTCCAGAGCTGCTGTGTTGGTGTCACTCGTGATCAATGAAAGCACAAATACACACCATAAGCAATTGTGAAAGAGGTTTTAAGCCAGGATTTACAGCCAGACTCCAACTCTGCTGAGCTGCATTTTGAAGCGAAATCAATTCCAGAGTCAAGGGGCTGAACACATATGCTTCATCCTCCTGGGTGGGCATTTCTGACGTGGGATTACTTTTTGGATAAGCTGGTCATAAAGACAGCCATAGAAAAAAATGTATTTCTGCATCTGCATTATGGAGGATGAACTGAACCAGATAGAATATAACAAGCAAACACACATGCAAATTTCAAGGCAAACCATTCAGCTAATGCTTCTCCTATTACTTGTCAGTGCACATGGTAAACCACTGGCTTCCTCTTCAGAAGAGGCCTAATGTAAAGTTTAGGATCTTGATATTAAAGCTGTGCTCAGTTAAGACTAAACAACAAAGAATTTCTAGTTTAGGAAGCAATGGGAAGAACAAGATCTTGCTGAGAAAACCGACTTTCCTTCTGGGAAGGTTTTGGAGCCTCATGACCTCTTATAACTTTTATAAGGATTAGCAAGCAAATCTGGAGCTGATAGACAATAGTGAGAAAGTCAGGCAGCCCCTTACAAACCCTTGAGGCTATGATAGTCTTCAGCACCTTCAGGTCCTGCCTTCACTCACAGTTTAGGCTGGGATTCAAGACAGATCCCTAGAAATCAAGCTTCACTAATTCTACATTCTCTCTCACACAGAAGAGAGTTTAGCATGCATAAAGTATACTGCACTCTACTATGCAAACATAGAAAAAGCACACCCATCTTTGCCAACTATGATTATATATTATACACACACACAAGGCTGGTGCATACTTTCCAAGCACACAAGTGTTGTATTTTTTCTGAGTTCACTTTTTAATTCAAGTTCCACCAAAACATACAATTAACCGAGTATTTCAAATGCATAGGTACCAAGTCAGCTATCAGCTGAGATTCACCTCACAAATGAATCTTATTCTGTTTAGAGCAAAATGGTCCCGATGACAAAAAAAAAAAAAAAAAAAAAAAAAAAAAAAAAAAAAAAAAAAAAAGTGCTCTCATTGTCCCTTGACAGTTAAGTGTGAGTTAAAACATAATCCTGCTTTATCTTCAAGAAGAGAGCTCCATAATGCAAGGTGTAGATAGGACTTAAGCATATTCATTGTGGGACTATAGCAGACAAACTGCTTCAACTTTCACTCGAATCTGATCCAGACAAAACATCTGCCTATCAGCCCATAAACGTCCCTATACATCTGTTCCCTTTATGACAAAGGAATGGAGCTTTTATGGAACATTTAATAGCCAGCAGCTCTTTGGCTGTCAAATGTCACATCTGGAGAAGCTGTGTGCTGTTAATGCGAATAGAAACAATTATTCTTTAATAGTTTTGCTTAATTTTAAGAATTACACAAATCACAACAAAAGAAATGGAAACACATCTGGTTTCTAGGAGAATAAGCTAAGAAAGGCCCCAGTAATTAACTGAAGCTGTACCTATAATCTGTTCCATCTCACTGAAGAAAATGTTAAACTGTTAATATAAAAGTGCTTAGTATTTTCCAGAGTTAAAAATTTCCCTGAATAAATATGTTACATGCAAGAAGAAAAAGACCAGTCAGTTCACATGACATAATGTCTTACTCATCTCTCAGTGCTGCTGCCCTGTGGGCCTGAAGGTTCCTGTTCTTTGAATGGCATTTCACTATTACTGCCTCACTTCTCCAACTTCCAGTCTATATGTAAAGACATTGTTTTAATTGGTTTTTTTGTTTAAGAATAGTACTAAAACAAAATTAAATTTGTTCCTGCTGGATACAATTTAGGCTGAATTCTAACCTCAGGAAAGCGATAAAATTACTTTCATCARCTTTGTAGGGTTTGAAGTAACACAAAAGAATTATGGACTACTTCTCCAAGAAAAGTAAATGAAGTAAATGGGCACATTCACCCAGATGCCTCACCCAGCACTCACTTAGCTGCATGGGGACTATGGGTGGAGAGAGATTGAAGTTTTGACATGAAAAATGAATCAAATGGAAAACTTGACCAAATAAAGCCATCAAATAGCATGCACTTGCTGAGAAGATGAATTCTTCCGTTGTAATACACACACAAAAGAAGCTGCCAGGAGATGGCAACGAAGTGTTGAAAGATCTGAAAACTGAAAGATACGAAGCAAATACAGGGAGACAAATCTAGAGCAGAGTACGAAGCAAATACAGGGAGACAAATCTAGAGCAGAGTACAAGTTACTTGTATTTTTTTCAAGGAACCGCTCTTTTCCAAGGAAGGCCAGTAGCTAAGAAAGCTTGAACCCCTTTTAGGAGAGTCTCACAGCCTCAGGAGGCACCTTTCCGAAACACACGCTGCCGTAACCTCTTCTGCACTGTCTCTCCCATGGTCTCAGCCTGGGCACAAGGTCTTAACAAACCACAGCTGCTGGAGGACACTCAGCTTTGTAAAGCTGAGCCAGCTTCTTGCCTACTGTAACGGTGAGGCAGCCTGAATGAGACACAGAGGAAGTTCAGGGGTCTGCCTCACTGCTTGAGGCCTTGAGCTGCCACTGATAAATTAACAAATACAGGAAACACTGCATTAGGGATTTTCAATAACATGACAAATACATTTCAAAAAAAAAAAAAAGGCTAAAAATTATAGTTTCATACCTTTCCATTTCAACACACTGATGGGAACCCAATTCTAGAAGATTCTCTACATCTTTATTCTTGCTTTTGAGCTGCTCACAATGAATCTATTAAAAATGGGGAGAAAAAAGTATACTTAGAGGAGAAATTAAGTTAAAAACTAAGTAAATTTTAGTGTATGATCACAATGAGAAGAAACACTCATGGCTTGCCTGTATTCTTCTTTCCCTCTTCATACACGATATATGGCTAACAAGTAAACCAGAAATCTACTTCCCATCTACTTCTTACTCCCAAAAGTTAACTCCTCTAATAGCACACCAGGCAACAGTAGCAGCTTTACAAGGCTAGAAGCAGCAAGAGGCTCTGATTGCAGTGGCATGGAACAAAGTTGTCAGCAGTCATAAAAAATATTGACAATATAGAGGGAAAAAAAAAAGTAATACCACKGTAGCTAAGGTTGAGAATTAATTGCTATATTAAAACTAAAAAAGCAACTATTTTAGGTAGAGTTTGTGCATATCCTCAAACTCACCAGAAATTTTGCATGCTTCATGGTTCACCCGACAGAACCAGTAGTGCAAATTTAACTTCACTTGACCTGATATAGATCTGATATAAATCACTTGGACAGACAGGAAAAGTGGCTTTAAGTAAGTTATCATCCACAATTGATCCTGAATTGTTCAGAAAGGAAACTCTTTTCCTAACTTCTTGTTAGGAAAACTGCTAACAAGTTTTCCTCTGGTAAGGGCCAGCTCCTGTGTCGCCTGGCATTTCCAAAGAGAAATGAGAAAGGAAACACTGACAATGACCTCTTTACGGACACTGGAGCAGCTTGCATCACCTGTGGATTGGAGTGCATACAGATACTCACCAGGGGACTAGAGGGCAGGGAGGTGGGGAGGTAGGAAATCTTTCCAAAGAAAAGGAAAGATATCAGGGGTAATAGTAAGTAGGCCACATTTAGATAGCCCCTTTCAGAACCAAATTTCGAAGAGGATAAAAAACAGCTTTTAGAGTTTTATGAAAATATCGTCATGTCTACATGAGAAGGAAGAGACAATACAGAGCCAGTGCCACCTCATTCATGACAGTCATTCTACTGACTGCTATCGGCTTATTACAGCCCTAAAAAAAATCTTCAAGGTGAGTGGGATATCTCCTGACAAGGAGTCTAGAAGCCTCATTCTCATCTTTAGATCAAATTATTAAAATGGCATTATCACAGCATTGGGTTTGGAAAAACAAAAGGTCAAGCACATCTTGACCTAACTGCTGCCCATGTTAAAGACAACGATGTGACCACTGAAATAAAGTGAGAAGTCATCAAGACTGAAACCCACTACTTATAACCTAATGAGTTTTCAATTACAAGTCACTCTCTGTTGGCAACATTAACTTAATTTGAAACCGCAGCTGAACGTTTTGCAGAAATCACACTGCTTCATCTAAGTGCACAGCAGAAATTTAAAATAAATGGTTGCCTGGAAAAGATCCAAGGCATTTGGCTTCCCTCTCCTCTTCAGTTCCCATTTCACACCATTTAAATGCATCTGGTAATCACCAATTACAAGAATCCTATTTAGAGAAAAAAAGAGAAAAAAAACAGTTTTCACCTGAAACCTGATTCCAGCTTGCCCAAGTTTTATGAGGGTCTGTTCAGTCGTTACAAMTACATGTTGAAGTACAGAAAGCTGTACAGAAAGTTGTGTTCATTTGATTTCAATAGAAGCTGCAGATACTTGATATTGATGAGAATTACATCTTTGTAATTACATATTTGGAGGTTCCTAAACTTAGCTTCACTTGTCTAACTTTAAACATGAATTTTGAGAAATGCCAGCATAGAATGAAAACTGCCAACTCCCACCAGGATAACAAAAAGTAAAATGAAGCAACTAAACCAAAACTGACCATACCAATCTCAAGAAAGAGAAACAGAATTCAGTCTCCAGTTCCATCCTGATTTATCCCACTGGGCTTAGACATTTCAGTAGCTTGAGATCAATGTGTCGAGTTACGCACAGTAATAAAGCCCATGTGCTCAACACATGACATATTAAGGAGATATAGGCTAGACATTACTTAGTAAAAAGGATTTCACGTTGGTAAAATTCATCTAGCAAGAGGCAAAAGAAAGTGTTGAAAAACTAAGAGGGAAATTAAAAGGAAAAAAGAAAGGAGTGAAGAACATAGAGGCTACTCCCTTATTAGCATCTCGCTAATACGAGAATGTCTGCCCAACCTGGCAGGCCAAGCCAGGCTAAAGCTACAGTTATGAAGCTGGAAGAGGATGATTGAGGTTATTGCAAATCTTGCATATGTTTGCTATGAAAATAACTATAATCTTTTACAACTATAATACCGAATGTAGTGCTTTAGGTTTTTATTACATTAGACAACTCAAAGCCTAGGTGGATAAAAATCAGCTACATCAAAAATTAAGGTTTTGTAGAAAACAGGCGGTTATAATAGTCATGTAAAATTCACAAATGTTCTGTTTTCAGTCAAGGYTTTTAAGGACAGGAACACTTCAAAGAACAACAGAATTCATTTTGCTCACACATTTGCACATTTTAGCAATAATTGAGAATCTCTGGGGAAAAAAAAGACCATTAAATTTCTGTAGTATTCTGCAGTACTCTCTTCCCCTCAAGAATTCATTACTGCTTTAATAATAATCAAAGCAATAAACCTAAATATATCTAAATAGGTCCAGAAAACTGTCTGGTACAAGTTTTTTGCATTAAAAATAGGAATGTCTTCCACATACAAAAAAAAAAAATGCATTTAGGGAGAAGTCTTCTTCCCCAGGAAAGACCAGATTGACTAATTCTCTTTAAAAGATTAATTATATCAATGATCACAGACAGACATTCATCAAGTTAGTTTCAAAATGTTCTCCATTCTCCTGCTCCTTTCCCAATCATGTGTATGGATTGTTACACCCTGCGCTGCTCTTGGCTTTGCTTCCACTCCCATTCTGTAACTTTCTACAAGTCTAGTTCCGGCTGAAGCTCATCTCATTTTCCTAACCCTACTCCATAACTCACTTAATTCTCAATTGTGCCAACGTGATACTTTGTGGAGATAGAATACAAAACGAATTTCAGAAACAAGTCAGTCTAAAGGAGACTGTTTTGTTTCTTTATTCAGGTGGGTCAGCTCAATCATTCCATTTTGCAGAACACCAGCACAGGGAGAGACACAGTCACACTGCATGAACAGATTCCCTGTCACAAGGGAGGAACAGTATACTACTACCAAAGGACTTAGTGGAATATGGGAAGCTCTTTTGCCACCAGATAAAATGGTAGTGAACTATATCCTCTATCATTAAGGTAAGAGATTRCAAGTGAAATTATCCTTATGCTGACCCAACAGAACCAAAGAACCACAACCTAGTGAAAGCAGCACGGAATAACAGCATACTATTTATATGCTTGTCAGGAAGCTTCATATTAAGAGACAAAGCCATCAACAAGTTACCTTCTCAATGATACCCATTTCTGTACTGCAGAAGATTCAGGGCCTAACCATCACAGACAGACTGAGTAAACTTGCCTCATTTTAGTAATATCTATATTGCAAAATTGCTCAAAAACAAAATGGAACATATATAATCATAAAGGCTGTTGATAAACAAGGTGACAGTTTTTTTTATCTTTGTGTGTGCGTTGTGTAGGAGGAGTGGGAGGAAGAAATCGATTTACTGTAAATGTGATCAAAATTGAAGACAAAAAAAAAAGCACTTTATTGAAGGAATCCTAAGTAACACATGGTGAAATAAATTTTTTTTGCCTTTCATTTCTGAAGTCAACCATGAAATGTAATATTTCCATGGTCTCTTCCTATCCAGACAGTCCCTGATTTGGTATTTATAATAGGAATAATAATTTGTTCATCTATCCTTGAACTAGCCTTTACACGTCTCACAGTTTCCGCACCCAACTTTTTTTTACTGAAAATAAAACTTTAGTCGTATTGGTAAATGCAATAACAGACAAACGCACAGACAAMTGAACTGCCAGGGCTCTCCTCTCTCCTGCGTGCACCACATTATTTCCTTATGAAATTTCCTTATGAAGCACTTATTTCCTTATGAAGCACTGAAATGCCAATATTAGACATTCTGCAGACCAAAATATAAAGTCTGAAATAAAAATTTTGTCAAAGACAGATTTAAAATTCTTCAATCCCAGCTTTGCCAACTACGTTCAGACAAAATGAAACTGATACCTGCTCTGCATGATGCAGGAGGATTTAACATCAATTCTTTAGAATTGTTCTCACCATTATATATAATTTTCCTCGGTTAAGATAACAGCAGGCTCAGAAGAATAAAAGGCTGCTCCCCTCAGGCTCACTGAGCATGCAAACTAATATGAAAGGCTACAAAACATTAAGGTCAGCCTCAAGAATATGACTATGTTTCTAATGTGCAAACAAGTCACGTTAGAAGTGAGCAGGAGAAGTCAGAGCAATAGACCTCAGAATGTCCTTAKCAGTTTTTTGAAATGCTACAGTCAACCTAATCTCTTCTTTCTATGAACTGAAGCCTTGCAAAACTAAAAATATTAATTAAAAAAGTAATAAAGTTATGAGTTGAGGGGGGAGTTAAAAGATATACTGTGACATTTTTGGAAGCTGAAGGTAACTAAGGAAAATCCTGACATTTTATGTATTGGACTTCAAAATTAAAATCTGCTCATCTATGCCCAATACTTAAATGCAGGCTATCGATGACTTTCATATACTGAACATGTGCCCATTTTTAATACTTCTAGATAAAAATCTTTTATGGGAAAAGTGTAAAAGTGAACTCTATCATGTATATAAAAATCTCAGTGTAAAAACTATGCTTCTTTGGACATATCAATTGTATACATCTTTAATGAAAGCAAATCACTGTTAATGGCATATAAATCAGCTCAAAAATACTTAAAACACATGGATGAAAAGAAAACTCTTGACAATAAACATCTTTGATGAATTTCTGATTGCTTGGTAATAGAATTTTAAGTAAATCATATACACAGACAAAATTTTGTGCAACACACTAGGAATACTAACTGTATTCCACCCAACAGTACTGCCTGAAGCC